ATCTACAGCTGCTAGACTTTTATATAATTTCATTTTTTTAAATATATTTTAAACTCAACGATCGCCTTTTAAAGCATGTAATAAAACAAATTTTTGAACGTAAGCTGTGTCTATATAAACACAAATCTAGCACAATATATATATATATATATATATATATATATATATATATATATATATATATATATATATAATAAGCAAATATGGATATAGATCCGACAGTATGAAGAAAAATATACGGTGAATACTAGACCTGGTAATGGTAATAGTAATATTAATAGTAATGGCAATGGAATTATTAATACGTTTCTCTATTCGGAAATTTGGCATTCATCCAATGAAATGAAGAATTGCTGTCGGTTGAAATTTCATTTCGTGAAATATGAGGGACAGGGAAAATTATTTAGTTTTTCCAACGTTCCTACATTTTTTCTGTTTGGTGGGGCGAGTGAGGAAATGCAAAAGATTTCCATACCCTCCATTGTCTCAGCCTCTTTCGGTCAATCCCTTATCCATTTCCAAGTCACCCACTCGAATTCCAATCATGTCCAACATGCGAAGGCTCGCAATAAACGCTCCTACTAAGTACTGAAAATCAACAAATATAATAGATCTCAAACAGTCATAAGAGGAAAAGAAACTAACAGCACCTAAAACAACCCCCTTGAAAATGGCTAAAGAAGATTTTATAAGCATTTCACTCCAAGTAAGGCAGGAGAGCCACTAATACGCAAAGGGCTAAAGAGAGTGAAACTAGGAGAAAAGACTGGGTATAGGGGGTGGGGTATGGAGGAAAGGATAAAAAGAAGAACGAGGCAACAGAAGATGACGATTGACATTACATTTACATTTTTGAAGATTATAGTTATCAGGGAAGCAAGTAAGAGAAAGGGAGTTCCACTGTCAAGAAGTGCGAGGGAAGTAGCTGTTGAAGTAGAAGAGGCGGTTATATTCAACTGTTTCGACATTAAAAGAGTCGGGCGCCAACCCAGTAGCACGCTAAAATTCATGCAATCGGGGCACAAATGAAAATAGCCCGTCAGAACAATTGCCATGAAAATATTTGTAGAAGAGACAGAGGGAAGTCACATGACGCTGTGAGAAAGTGACTGGAGTTGTGACTCCAAGTCAGGACCGATCACATTGCATATCCGTCTTTGGATTTTGTCGAGAACCACGAGATGAACAGCGGGGGTACCAGGTCATATATGGCAACAGTATCCAGTGCATAGACAAATGGTAGATTTATAGATGTGAAGGATGGACTCAGACGAGAAAACCCTTTTAGCGAGACACAGAGAACCAACTTTCCTTGCAGTAGATGCAGCTATTGATTCAACGTAGTTGTTCCACCTCAGGTCAATTGAAAACGTGAAACCAAAAAGGCGTAGTAAGACGTTCTTGATCCAACTTCTTCGTGGAGGCCCCAGATAAATTATCCAAAATTAAGGTGTCCAGGTAGATAGATATATCATCCAAAATGAAGCCAGCCAGGGCCCTTGTTACAACCGACTTCATCTCGATGTCTTCCAAACGAGGTTTTACTTCAAATTAGGGAACAAGCAACATTTACCGGGAGCAAGGTCTGGACTGTAGAAAAGTTGTGAGTCTGTCCTGTATTATGAACATGTATGTTGCGAATATAATATAATATAACAGCATCGTCTACATATAAAAAAAAGTCTAAAAATAATGGAAGCCTTATTAATAAAAACAAAAAAAATACAACACTCAATAACATCAACTACGAACATGGACACAACATGCTGGCTGTGTTTTGAAAATAAAACATTTTTTAATACTAAATATATACATACAACAATCTATTTCCAGTTAACAGTTAATATATTTTATCCTTGAAGATGGTTAAAAGTATAGCCGAAAGCGCTTGGAAAAATTTGGGCAGTTTTTGTATAATTTCTCTACTGGAAAGAAAGCAATTATAAAATCATATGAGAATTCTTTTGTTGCCAAATCCCGGAAGTTAGATATTATTTCTACTTTGGCCCATCGTACGTTTTTGATATATTCCTAGTACTCAGTATATATATGTGCTAAGTAATCTGAAATTCATCTGGTTGGGGAGAGGCAGTCATAGTCTGGTTAATAGAGCGTTTGCCAGTGTTAAATGGTGTTTACTTGGCGTCAGAACACGTGTTGTATTTAGCACCATCCCGGCGTTTTCTTCGTTTACTAAGGACGCCCTGCCCTACCTACAAAATAGTTTGGTCATATATAAACGTATATGTCACTGCGACCCTGATTATTTCGGGTAGACCGATCAGCACTTTAAAACGCGTGCTGGACAACATATGCCTGGTAACATCAAACAGGGTATAAATACTCGTAATTCACGTCTTACCCAGGCGGCACAGGATTACGCGATTGGTCACCATCTCCTGGATAATCCATAGTGTGCTGATAAATACAGTGACTTGTAGTTTATATTTTCCTTTTTGAAACTCACTGGAAAGGTTTATTTTGTTTATTTTTTGTTTGTTTGCCAGTGCCCTTTTTTTTTCTCCCCCTCCAATTTTTAATATTAAATTGTATTTTAATCGTAATCCATTGTCTCCTTCCTGTATTTCTGTTGTATATTTAAGCAGCATATTTTCATTCAAGCAGGTATGGTTAAATAATTTTGTTTTGTCTTCAAAATATTTCGATTTCGGCATTATATAAACCAAACAAAATCAACCAAAGAACAACATCACATGCTCCAAAACTGTCAATAAATAGCATAATTAAAAAAAAAGCCTTTCGCTCTACACATATTTCGTCTTAGTGTGTGCCTATGTAAGGGAAAATTGCACCCAGAAGAAGACAATTTCAAATTATCGAAAGTACTTGGCATGTGTCATCCATCTGACAACAATTCAAATGTAAGGATCTTAGGAATTGATACTAAGTTAATGTTTCACTAAGCCCTGTTAGCGAAGTGATTTCGCCATTACTCACATTAACATTGCTATTTAATTCTTTGTATAAATTGTTTTTTTATGATATAAAATATAAGCTTAACACTCTAATACACACACACACACACACACACACACACATATATATATATCGATGCATGTTTCATTAAAAAATATAGACAAGTTTTGTCTATTTATTTTAAGTAAATTCCTTTCAAATTGGCTGATAAGCTTAATAACATTATGATTAAAAACGAAAGAAAACATCATATTGATACATGTATTTTAATCGTATCTAACCTTTCGGCTTACATAAGCCAATATCAAAGATGACAATTACATTTCAACATATATAGAGATCTTCTTTTGTTCAATATATATATTTATATATATATATATAATCGACTCTCCCGTCGCGTTCGACGTATGAGGGTCAGGCCGATAAGTCCCCAGGAAACCGACATCCCGACACCGGCACATGAGATTTGTTTATAGTGGTGAAGGCCTCGTGCAGGACCAACCACACTTTTTGGAGGGACGAATACAGAAACCTGGTGCACTGAATGCATGCCACAAGGTTCCCCAAACGACCCTCCGCAGGTTTTGAATTCAGAGTTGTCCTTCTCCTAGACTAGTTGCCATCCAAGGCTATAGAACCCAGTCTGTCCTGCTATTTTACCCATAGCTGGAGGGAGAGAAAGAGGATACATACCTTTTCCAAGGGTATTAGCACGTAAGTGAATGTAATGGATTCGACTGGAATTCGAACTCGGCTCTGCGATTCTTCAATCCAAGCCGCTATCCCGTGCCTCCTATATATATATAGGCAGCCGTTACTTTCTGCGTTATATTGTCTGCCAGCCGAGGCTATAGGACCCAGTTTGCACTGCTATTTAAACTGTGTATTCATATATTTATCATGGATGTTTATGCGTAACTGAATGTAACGATCTCTTGCAGAATCCGAACTCGTCTCTCGGATTTTTCATTCCGAATCGTTATCTGTTACCCCATCCGCACACCCAAGCTTACACTACCTGGTATTCTCAAGGGGTCACCCATCTAGGTACTGATTAGGCTCAACGTTCCTTAACTTTGGTGGTCATTTTTTCAGCGTGATGTGGCCATATTCAAGTTTTAAACAATATTGTAGTGGCAATAAGGACCACTTAATTAACTAATATATATTAAAAATGGCTGATTACCTTGAGGCTGATGACATTTCTACTGACCTATTAGCACAGCGAGTGACCCACCCATTAAGATACAGGTTTTGCAAGCAAATGTATTCCTTGCTGCATTGGTATCATATTGTAACCTGTAATGCCGGTGTAAGTATGCTTGTTTACCAGCACAGTGTTGTTGCAGAGATTGCAAGTGAAATTCAGTTATAGTGATAGATTGCGTTGTCATTGTAGTGAGGTGAGCGATTAATCAAGTTACCCTTGGAAAGGCATACGTACCCACATTTGGCAAAGTCAGAGACTCCTTAGTGCTATTTCCCGGGAAAGTTTTCTGTTCTCCATGTAGCGAGTAACAGGTTTTAGTTCCGCATATTCAATCCCGTTTTTTTCAAAGTCGTCGTT